AATTGTTCCACCTCAATATCTCCTGGGTTTGTCTTTGATGACCTGGAAGTCTGTTGTTGCATCTTGCTTTCATGTCTTCTCATTTTTCTATTTTTAAATTTTAATTCCTGTATAGCTTTATTGCTAATATCAAAAAATATAAAAAACTCTAATATCAAAAAAGAAATGACTACTTCTTAGATATATCTTTCAGGTCTAGCTGGCTTTTGGGTTTTGAGTCTATTGCAAGATTCTACCTGTTGAAGTTATTGGGGATGAGAAGTTGCTGCCTGTTTGGCTTAGGCCATGATTCTTTGGTACTGGCCCATGGTATTCTTTATGACCCTTGGGCAATCTCAGACTTGGCATACAAGGAAGAACGAATGATTAGAACAATTATGTCACCTTGGATAAAGTAGTACAATCAGTAGTAACAATAACATCAAACACAGCCTAGAAAATGATAAACTGTGGTGACTATTATTTTGACATTTTAAAATATATGAACAAGATTTGTAGTTATATAACAAAAAATCTAAAACAAACCAGAAAATTGTATACAGTAAATATCTCCTCAATATGACAATTTAACTATCAGGGGAGAAAATTTAAAAGGTGTTAGGGGAAAATAGAGAAATAGAAGAAGAGAAAGTGATTAGATGCAAGGCTGGAGGCCAAAGGAAGATTATGCAAGCTTTGGAAAACTAATGAAGAAGACAAGTGGGAAACAAGGAAGAAACAGAAGCAAAAACAGAACAAAACAACAATAACAAACTAGAAACAATGTTCACACTCATATAAAAACAAAAACAATCAAGAAAAAGAGAAAAAAGGAAAGAAAGAAAAGATATTCACTTCAGGGTATGTCTGACTATTCAACAGAGGGGCCACATAGAGCCTGGATCCGTGTTGATTGATCCAAGCAAGGCAGCAGTAGAAGTGTGGTGGGGTGGTGAATAATCCCAGCAAGCCAGTGCCTTTAGTTCCACTGAAGTTCAGGCTGCTTCTGATTTCTGGCTGTGAGGCTGGGACCCGAGTTGTTCAGCCCACAGCACTCCAGGTGCTTTCTGGTTGCTTGAACTCAGCTCCCTCTTGGCTGCCCCTCACTGTGATACTGGGAGTCACTAAATGGAGCCAGCCTGCAGCTGCTCTGAGTTTTGAGTTCACTTGGCCCCTTTCCAAAATGGTGACTGGTTAATTGCCCTCTCCTGGGAGTGTCTGAACTGGAAAAACTCACCAGTCACTGCAGTCTGCAGCATCTACTGCTCTGTTCCACTGGTCCATTTCTCTGTGGAGGCTCTGGCATTACCAGTAGTCACTGTGCATCTGCAAGTTTGTACTGTCCCTCCTATGCCATGAACTGGGGCTCAGGGAGAAAGCATCATTTGACATATTTCTTTTCTGCATTGAGGTCCCTCTCTTTGCTCTCCCCATGGGTTCCATTTCTTACTTCAGATCCTTTCTGAGTCCTGGGGACCCAGTTCCCTTCTATTCTGTTCCTCACATTGCTATATTCCAGCATCTGGACTCCAAATCTCAGAGAGGGTGTTTTTCTGCTGCTCACTATTCCACCATCTTCACTGAACTCAACTCTCTGTTTTCATTTAAGTGTTCAAACCATTTTTTTGAGTTTTTTCTTAAATGAAAGACTATCCTTCCATTAAATTGGTTTTTCACCTTTGTTGACAGTCGCTTAGGCATATTTGTATGATCCTAATTTGGGGCTCTCTAGCCTGTTCCATTGATTCATGGGTTTACCCCTCCATTCACACCACAGTGTTTGATTACTGAGTTTTCATAGTAGGTTACTCACATTTTATTTTTGCTTATTTCAGCATTGTTTACTATTCTTAACTCTATTTAGATTTTAGTAGAAATTGGCTTAATTTATTCAGTTAATTTGAGGAAGTATTGATATCTTTATTATTTTAAGTCTTCTTATTCATGAACATGGATTGTCTTTACATTTACTGTATTTGTCTTCTTTATTTACTTTCATCAGCAATTTGTAATTTTCAGCATACAGATTCTGTAAGTGATTTGTTAAGCATGTGGCTCAATATTTTATTTTCTTTGGCATAATTGTAAGGTACTGTTTTAAATATTACTTTTGGACTTCATTGACATATATAGAAAGGTGATTGGTTTTTGTGTGTTGATGTATCCCATGACCTCATTGAACTCATTTGTTAATTCTAGGAGTGTGTGTGTGCCTGTGTGTAGACTTCTTTGAGATTTTCTATGTAGATAATTATATCATAATAGATAGGTTGTTTCTTTCTGATCTCTATTGTTTTTATTTCTTTTCATTGGCTGGTTTATTTTAGTGGCTGAAACTTCTAACACCACAGTGAATGAGAATATATCATTGCTTTATTATAATCCTTGCTTTATTCCTGATCTTAGGGAGAAAACATTCTGGTTTTTATAATAATTTTTATAAGCATAATGTTAGATATTGGTTTTTGATAGATATTCTTTAGTAATTTGAGGTAATTTCCCTCTATTCTTAATTTTCTGAGAGCTTTAGAGATATTCAGATTGTCTATTTAGTCTTGGTGAAGTTTAGTACTTCATAGATTTCAATGACTTGCCCCATTTCTTCTAATTGTCAAATTTATGAGTGTAAAGTTGCTCACTGTATTCCTTTATTCTCTGTTCCAGGACCATGGGATCTGTACTGATATTAGTGATTTGTGTCTGTTATCTTTTTATTTTTGTTGGTCTTGGTGAAATCTTATTAATTTCATTGATTTTATTTTTAGAAATCAAAAATTTTTGTTTCATTGTTTTTGTATTGTATTGGGTTTTCTAGTTTTTTTTTTTTTTTTTTTTTTGGTACCGGGGATCGAACTTGGGTCCTTGCACTTGTGCAGCAGGTGGTGAAACCACTGAGCTAAATCCCTGGCCCCGGGTTTTCTAATTTTCAGTTTCACTAACTTCTGCTCTTATCTTTATTTCCCTCTAAATAATCCACGGGTCACAGAGGAAGTCTTAAAAGCAATTTTAAAAATACAAAAATGTAATGAAGATGAAAATACATTTGTGTGATGCAGCTAAAGCAGTGTGAGAGGGAGATTTATAGCACAATTTATATTTTATTTATTATAGGGAACAGGGAAAAGGGATGTTACTAGAACTCCCGCAGTGAGTCCTAGTCTCATGGGAGCCACGACAGCACAAGGCAAATTAATTAACATATAGACAGAAATGAGACTTAGAGAAGAAGCTGAGCTTTGGGCCTGACCAATGCTGCTTTAGGCAGCAAAGATGAAAGACCCCGAGCTGGCCACACCGTTTTTCAGTACATTGGGAGTAACAGATGACTGGGTGGTGGCAATAATCCTCGAACAATGAGGAATTTATGCAGATGAAAATCCTAGGTCACGAGGAATTTATGTTGATTAGAAATTTATTCATCCCCATGATGTGTTCAGCTGATGTAATCTTGTCCTGGATCACTACAATATCACAGGGCCACTGAGGCCTTAGCTGTGGCCAGAGGTGAAAACAGAGTTATGTCTCGACATGCCATAGCTGGCCTGTAGCTAGGAAAACTAGGTCTAATCATAATTTCAATTGTGAAATGATTTTTCCCCAAAATTATGTAGAATTGCTCCCAATTATTTATTATTTATCAATATTATAAATCAAGAACCTAATCAATAAACCCAAATTAATAACCTAAGTTCTTCCTTCAAGAAACTAGAAAAATAAGGGAAAAACAAACTTAAAGAGAGCAGGCCTCCCCTCTGCTTCCTGAGTGGGTGGTGCTGGATTGAATCTGTGCCAAGGATGCTGCCCTGAGGTGTGCAGGCTGGGACAGGTGTGAGGGGCAGGTGTGTGCAAGGCAGGAGGGCCACTGAACTGCAGTACTAGATATAGCTGCTTGCTGGGCTGTCCTGCAGGCTGTGGGCAGAAAAGGGGGAGACACTTGCCCACTAGTTCTTGTGGGCCACTAGGTAAAGTTTATACCCTGACCCTTGCTCTTCCTAGTTGCTGCTCTGTGCTTAGATGCTGTGGGGCTCCTCAGGGGTGCTCTGGTGGTGGGGAGGCAGGGGTAAGAAGGAACCGGGTGCTTCATTTTTATCTGTGCGAAACTGATCAGACACATGAAGCAGAATAAGGGTGGGAGGATCAGGCTGAGATCAGATGGTCCTTCAGTCATCTCTTTCCCTTGCCAGTGGCATTTACCCAATTCAACTGACCACGTGCACACTGTCAGGGCATGTATCAGTGACTACATATTATTGGTCCTCTTCAACATGCAGGCACACAGGGCCTTTTTGTTTCTGAATGTGACTCATGGAGCAACTGGCAGCCAACTCTGAGAGCTGGAGGCAGAGCATCCTGTCTTCTGCAGTACTGCCTCAAGATAGCATCTCTTTGCATGGCTGGATGAAGACTCTCTGGAGCACATTGGCAGCTACCAGGTGGACTTGGTATCCACTGGCCTCTCCCCTCTGCTCTGAGCTGCCCACGGCAGGCCCTTGTTTGCTTCAGCTCTCATCTGCTGCTGATATGGAAAAGTTTTAGATAACTTAATAGATTGAATATTATGGTAGTTGTAGAAGCAAAATAAGTAATGTGTTCTTTTAAGATTTGCTTTTCCTGTAACTCCTTGTTTAAGGTGAGGATTATCTGACTCTAACCAGTAACTTCATTAACCTAACAAAGTTACCTGCCAGGGTGAATTTACAATGTATATGGCCTATCTTGTGTCCTTGACTTGTAAATAGGAACTGGAATTGTATTTACACAACAAAGACCACTAGGGATGAGATAATGGCTAAAAAGGATATAAAAAGGGAAATGCTGAAAAAAAGGGGGCGCGGATATTGACCAGACTGGTTTCTGGCATTCTCGTCCACTCGTGAGAAGAAATTTTATTATTTTATCCGAATTCTGTGTCTCTGTTTCTTTCCGAGATTTCTGCCACACTGCAAATACTTGTATTAACTGTGTATTGTGGTGCAGCATCTGAAATGTCATCTTGAGTGCATCACTGTTTTGGGTTTCAGATGTCCCCATGAGCCCTGCACTGTGGGATGACTGCAGAGATAAAGACCAGCTGGAGAAGTTGGGGAGCAATCCTGGAGTCAGACGGGAGACATTTGCCTGGTGTGTTAACTTTTCTCTTGTTGCTGAGACAAAATACCAAAGTTAAAGGGGGAAAGGTTTATTTAGCTCAGTTTGTAAAGATTTCAGTTCTTAATTGGCTAGCTCCAATGCAGGGTGGCTTGGCAGAGGGGCATTTCAGAGAAGTTCATGGCAAGCAGAAGATGGTAAAAGCAAGCAAACAAGCAAGCAGTCAAGGGGAATTTATCAGTGTCTTTCTGCTCCTTTTATCTAATCCAGACTACTTAGAGCAAGTAGCACTCACACCCTTAATCCTAGTCCCCTTGAGCCTAGCATGCACCATGAATCAATTTCAGTGTCACATACTCTAGATTCAGTCATCTCTGAGAAAGCCCTACCTAAGACCTCATGAGGCCTTGGGGGACATCTAAACACAAGCCATAACATTCCATCCCTGGCCCCCCAAAGACTCACGCACATCCCTTTATGCAAAAGGCATTTGGTCCATCTCTGAGAGTTGCTGAAGTCCTAACAGTTTCAGCATTGCTGAAAAGTCCAAGTCCAAAGCCTCCTCTGAGATTTAAGGCAAACTCTTTAGCTGTGAGCCCCTGTACAAATGAAAAGGAAGTTAAACACTTTGAATATTCAATGACACAAGAGAGACATTTCCTAAGGACTAAATGTATAATAGGTAATGTGAAATAGGAAGAAAAGGGGCAAAGGGGAAGGAAGTGGGAGGGCTAGGGGAAAGGATAGAAGGGAATGGGATTAATAGGAGAAAATGGAAAAATAGGAACAAAATCTTTGTAAATAGGGAGGACTGGAGGGGTTGAAGGGAGGGCTGGGCAAGGGTGAAAAATAAGAACCAAGAGAGACTATGTAAAGGTGCAAATTTCCAATGATGAATGTCATTATATTGTATACCTGAAATGTACCAATGATTAGAATGAATAATCGATAATGTAAAATAGGAAGAAAAGGTCCAAAGGGGTAGGGGTAGTGGGAGGGGCAGGGGAAAGGAAAGAAGGGAAAGGAAAAATGATGAGAAATGGAAAAAATGGAAACAAAGTCTTTGTAAATAGGGAAGGGTGGAGGGGGTGAAGGGAGGGCTAGGAATGGGGAAAAAATAAGAACCAAGATGCATTATGTAAAGGTACAATTCCCAATGAGAAATGTAATTGTGTTGTATACCTACAATGTACCAATAAAAGAATTTAATAAAAAAAGAAAGAAAAAAGATAGACATTTCCATTCCAAAAGTTAAAAGGAATGGGACCAAAGCAAGTCCAAAATCCAGAGGGGCAAACATTAAATTCCAGAGTCACACTACCACCATTCCCTGCAATCTGTGGTAAGTTGTGAACTCCAGAGGGCTTGGGTGGCTCCACTCCTATGACACTATCCATGGCTGTATCTCCATGGCTTCTGCCTGGGGCTTGCTCATCTCCCTCCTTGCAGCTTTCCTCAGACCATCCACGTTCCTGGCTTCTCCAAACTTCTGGAGTCTCCACTTCACCTTCAGCTTCACACTCACAGCATCACACACTGCCCTCTCAGGGAGCACACTGCCTGGCCTCCCAGGCCTTCTTCTAAAATCTGGATGGAAGCCTTCCTGATCCCACAACTCTTGCATCCTTCATGCACCTAAAACCAATGCCATGTGGATGATGCCAAGGTCTGCCACCAGCTGGAGCTGTAGCCAGGCTTCTTCCCTCTTGGCTGTAGGAGTTGAGTGCCTATGAACCAGATCCCAAGAAACAACTTCCCTAGGCTGCCACCATTCTAGAATATAGTGCTCTGGGGCTCTCTTTTCAAAGCAAAGTCTTTCATCTTTATAATTTTGTGGCTGCAAAGGGTGGAGTCCTGCTGCTTCTTGTGATGCCCTCAGGCCACATTTTCTATTCTCTTGTTCCTTTTCAGCAGTCAAGATTTCCTCTGCTCTATCTTTACAGTCCACAGATTTACTGGAGCTTCCTTTCTGGCCAAATTAAAAACATTTTAAATCATTCTGCTGGGCTCTTTGCTCTTGATTCTCAACATAAATTTGGGTAAAAACCCCCAATAGTAACCATGCCACTGTTTTAACATTAGGCTGCCTTGAAATTTTTTCTGCAAGTTTAATTAGTCCACTGCCCTTAATCTCAGTCTCAGGTAAAGTCTCTAGACATGAAAAATGCAGACAAACTTTCTACCAAGGTATAACACACATTGTCTGGAGTCCAGCAGCCAATGCAGTCCTTGTTCCCAGCAGAAACCTCCTGAGCCTGGTCATTATTGGCTTTCTGGTCTTCTGATCTCTAATCAGAATCTCCCATACAGTAAAACCTATGGCATTCCAGCTCTACTTTTTTCAGCAACATCTCCAAACCTTTCTAAACTCTTCCCACAAGCCATTCCCAAAGGCTCCTGAACCACATGGTCAGGTATAATCACGGCAACGTCCCCAGTTCTTTGGTACCAAATTCTGTCTTAGTTACTTTTCTCTTGCTGAGACAAAATACCCAACATCCAAAGTTAAAGGAGGATAGGTTTATTTAGCTCACAGCTTATAGAGGTTTTAGTCCATAATCAGTTGGCTCCAAGGCAGAGTGGCTTGGCAGAGGGGCATCACAGAGGAGAACCAGTTCATGGCAGACTGAAGGTAACAAAGCAACAAGAGACCTTAACAATGTGTTCCTGCCCCTTTTATCTTATCCAGACTATTTAGAGTGGGTAGCACTTGCATCCTTAGTCCTAGTGCCCTTGAGCACATTGCACCATGAATCAATTCCAGCATCACACAGTCTAGATCTTGATCCAGCCACCTCTGCAAAAGCCCCACCTAATACCTCATGAGGCTTTAGGGAGACATCTAAAAACACAAGCCATAATACCTGGTAATAGTTCCCATCTATAGCAAGTCAAGACTACCACCACCCCACCCCTGCCCAGCTTTCTCTCATTTTCTTCTTGCAAGTGGCAGTGATTCGGGCTATGGTTCCAGTTATGACATATGGCAGAACTAACAAATCTCTTCCACTGTATATTGTCAGCCAAGTTTAGTATGGAGCGGATGTGAAAATTTCCTTGATGATAATGATACCGGCAGCTGTCATCTCCTAAACTCCTACTAGGTGTCAGATTATGGCCTGTGTTAGGCGTCATCACTGGATGCCACTGGTTCTGGGTGGAGATTTGGAAATGTCTTTATTTGAGTAGTAGAAGGGCCCTGGGTCTTCTTGGCTGGGCTGGGCTGAGTTCTGGCCACAGGTGCTGTCTCTGAAAAACAAGTGAATCCTAGCAGGGAGGGCTGTGGAGAGGCTGGCATGGGGGTTAGGAGGTGGGGCAAGATGGGGCTTTGGGGACACAGAGGAGGTGTGGAGCCTCACTTTGCTCCCAGGCAGACTTACATTCTGGGGACAATCACTCTTCTGAAAACAGAACCTCTACCTCAGGCTGCTCTTGGGTTGTGGAGTATGGGTTTCAGGTCCCTGGGACTCTGTGGAGCATCTGCAGTAGGCCCAGATAGGGGAGGTGGACAATGGCAACTTACAGGATGGGTGCTTCCTTGTCCTCGCTTGAGGAGTCTAAACTGTGCATCCTGAGCTGCCCAGTGTGTGACCTGGAAAGGGCCCTCCTCCTAGCAGGGAATGAGTGGTGGAGGATTCCCAAGAACTGATGTTTTATGAAGCAGAGCTTGCCAGCTCCAGGCCCCTGGGGCTCCAGGTGCTTGAGCTGAGCGGGTGGCAGGGCAGGCTCAGACTCCTGTGAATTCCTGGGTCTTGCATATTGTCAAGAGGAGTCAAAAGCCCAAGTTTTATATGGTTTTATAGGGTCTTCTCTGAATGTTAAATGAAATGTGCAAATGAAAGCCACCTTGGGGCTAAACAATACCTCATTGCTAACTGCTGTCCCAAGGCTCTGTTTGTTTCTCTGGAGCTAGTGGTCCCCAGGCTACAGATTATCAAACTCTGAGACAGAGAGGACTACTCGGTCAGTACTGCTCCCTCGCTCCATCACTTCCTCCCTTCCTCCTACAGGCTCTGTCTCCCTCCTTCTCTGCTACTTCCCAGTGTCCAGCATAGGCCTGGCCCTCAAAAGGTGGTCACTTAGCTCTTGAGGATGATTCCTACTCATCTGTCCTCCATGGTTGTCCTGCAGGTCACTGCTTTGCACGGCACTGTCATATTGTGTGTGTGTGTGTGTGTGTGTGTGTGAGCGAGTGGTTGGTATGACTGCAATTGTGCAAGAGACTGTTTGTGTGGGCCTGAGTGAGAGTGTGGGTATGGGAGAGCACATTGTGTGAATAGGTGTGAGTAGGGTTATGAAGGCAAGTGTCGTGTGAGCTGTTATTGTGTAAGTTTGTGTGCATGTGAGAAGGTGTGCGTGCATGACAGAGTACGTTTGTGAGTGGGTGTGTGTATGAGAGAATGTGAGCCCTTGAGGACATTTGAGTGAACATGTGTGTGTGTGTGTGCCTGTGCAGGCAAGTGTGAATGTCACCTGCACTCCTCTGAGATCCTTGGGTGGGTGGGTATGTGAGCTTCGTGGCTCTGCTGCTGATCCTCACAGCAGGGCAGCTGTCTGTCTGCTGAGGAGAACATGGTATTTATTCCGGGCTGGCAATTCCTTTTCTCTTCTCCAAGTTTCCCCACAGTGGAGGCGACTGAGCCCCTTCCCCATCTCTTTTGTCTGGCACAGGATGGGGTCTCAGTATTCCTGTCTGGGATACTTGTTCCTGGGGCCCTGAGCTGCTATCCCAGGGGTCCGGTTGGCTTCCCTGCTGGAGCAGCCCTATGCAGAAGCTCTAGAGTCCCTAGCAGAGGGTCAGGGGCCTCAGTGTTCCCCAGGACAGCTGTGCCTCCAGCTGAGACCACACAGGGCCCAACTCAGCATGGAGTGGAGCAGAAGAGTGGCCAGCCAAGTCCTGCCTTGATTCTGACCCAGACAGAGACACAGTCAGATGTTGGTGTTCAAAGCCACTGGATCTTTGGATGGTTTGTAAAACAGCAGTAGATAAGCAGAATAATCAATGCCTTTAATACTTCCTAAATGGCAATGTG